AAGCCTTCCCTTTCTTTACCTCAGGAATCCACAGAGCTCTATTAAGTACCGGTCTATCTCCTGTTTCCCTTCTCTATTTGGCAGCCTGTCAGTTATTTCTGCTCCTTTGTAACTGCGCCTCTTTGCACTCATTTTATCCCTTGACTCTGCTGTTGCAGCTTTATCGTTTCTCCAGCACAAACTACTCAGCCAGGTGCAGCAGCAGGTGCAGCACGGAGCTGTGCAGGACCAGCGGCAGTGTGAGCAGGCAGCAGTGTGCCCTGGAGTGCTGCACCACCTCCCTCTGCCTGCGGCTCAACGCCAGCGCCTACGGTACCTGCCGCGGGGCCCAGCACGGGAGGGTGGGCACAGCCCATCACGGAGCAGCTGCGGCTGCATCGCGCGTCTCTCAGTCCTGGGGCTGGCTCTGTCCTCGGCTGAGGGACAGGGCGGCCCCAGCACTGCGACCACAGCGTGAGCTGCGCCGGTGAACCTGTCCCCGCGCGGCAGTGCAGGACCCCGCGGGGCTGTGTGCTGGGCACAACCTCACGGGGCTCCTCGTGTGTCTGCAGGGGACCTGTCACCTGCCACTGCACCGCCAACGACCACCACCACCCCCAGACCTGCTCCCCAAAACGTAGGTACCACCTGGGCAGAGGCTACTGCAGCCACAGGCTCTCTGGGGGGTAGGACACCTGAGCTCCCACCTGAGCAGGAGACAGGGAAAGGTCCCTCTGGCACCTGCTCTAGGGGGTCAAAAGTTGGAAGAGGAACAAATCCTGACTGAGCATCAGAAGTAGCCGTCTGTAGGGAGCCCTGTCCATTGTCCCTGCTCCCCTGCCCACCACTCACGTCCACTCAGGCTGTTTGTCCTGACCGCGTGGTGACCCCTCCTGCACCTGCAGGGAGGGCACAGGGCTCACTGGGCTCTGCAACCCTTCCTGAGCCTAGTGGAGGGGAAGGTGCTTATCTTTGCAGAGCCCTGTCAAGAGGAAGGAAAAGGAGGCTTGAAACTTGTTTGCTCCACTGGTGTTTCAGTGGTTTCCTGCAGTTTCAGATGGGGCACTGATAGTCTTTTATCTCTGGAACCAAAATGCCTGAGACAGCAAAAATAAGGCAGCACAGAGCGAGTGAAGAGGAGTCCTTGGTAGTGAAGCCCGATGACTATATGGTGTATGCTCTGGTCCTCTCTCCTAGGGGAAAGTGTGCACAGCATTCTCCTGCCACGGGGATGGGTGTTTCAAAGGCAGGAAGACTGTCACTAGATGCATCATGGGGCAGGACTTCTGTGAGGTATGGCCTGGGGCTGCCACTGTGTTCCTGTAATGTGAACACCGAAGGCTTGGCATGATCCCCAGGCCAATGTCTCTCCTTCTTCCAGATGAAGAAGATGGGCTTGAATTACATGGCAGGATGCAGCAAAGCCTGCAAGGTTGCCAAACCAGTCTGTGCTGGTGAGATGAAGACTGCCTGTTACCAGGAGTGCTGCCCAGCCACCCTGAAATCCAGCTGTCTGAAACTGGATGGCAAAGTTCATGTCAATGGTGCTGGGCAGGTCGCACTGGCCTCACTCTTGAAGGTCGTGGCATGTGGGGTGCCCCTTCTCCTGAACTACAGGGTCTTCACTTCCCTCTAGGGGTAGGATAGTCAGGGTGTTCTGCAGCAGTCAGTAGGATCCTGCTGCTTTATGACTTCAGCCAAGGCCACTATCAAACACCTCTGTCATATCCCTGTCCCAGGAACATGGTAGTCAAGGCCCTCCAGGTCTGCCTGTGGGCAGCTGCATGCC